AACAATTGAAATTGAATTTGCATCTCTTTTTATTCATAAAATTATCTCGATTCTTTGGAGTTTTTTTTCTTCATTCCCTGCTTGGAGTGAAAAATTTGATAACAATAGATGAGATGAGATAATAATTCTTAAAGCATGTTTCAAGGAAAAGTCAAGTTTTATCAAGTTATCAGGGAATGAAAATGCAACTGGGAGGTTACATTATAACTAAATTGAAAGAGATTGTTGATGATTAAAGATAATCTTATTGACTTTGATAGAATTTTTTGCTTTCAATTTTTTTTCTCATGTTCATATTGGCCATGTTGTCATTGTTGATGCACAGATGTATGTTTATTCATAAAAAACAATCTTGTAGCATAAACAATCCCTGGGTTTATTCAATGGTAATGAGGGTATTGAATGGTAAGATGTTGAACAGTATAAAGGGGGCGAAGAGAGGAGAATAGAATGAGGAAAATTGCCATTCATCTTTCAGGGAAAATGTGATTGGTAAGGGAAAGGAGAATAAATATTCTAAGCAGAATGCTGATGTCAAAATAAGAAAGTCAAAGAGCATTCTATCAACTCTAAGATCTAAGCCTCAGCCACTAGATGGTCTAGATTAAATCTCTTCTGGTTTGATAACATAAAGTTGATAACATTTTTACAGGGAGTATCTTTATAATTACAAATGTAACTTTCGATTCATCATTTTTTTCTCCTTCTCTTTTCAAGATTGGCTAAAACTTTTGGTGAATCAGAGTTGGTCAACATTGAACTGAACCAGGAGAAGATTTTCATTTTCAATTGGACCATCAAATGAATTGAACTGAATAGCCTATTGATGTTTAACTGTACAAGAGTAGAGATTTGCTGATGCTGGAATCAATGATTAATCTGTTTGTAATGAATAAATTAGCCAATGTCAAAAGCGAACAACTTTGACCCTGATTTTGAGTTGACTGAATCATTCTGATAAAATGAACCATGAAAGGGATAATTTTATTTATTACTTTGTCATAACATTTTCTTTAGTTGCAATAAAAATCTTATCAATAAATTGCATTCCAACATCATTTCGATAATCAGCTTTTCCAAAAAGAACTTTTGGTGAAAAATTTTTCGCCATTGCATTCTATTCTTTTATCGATATTGAGCACTTTGAAGAAGGTGAACTTTTTTGAAGGTTATTGATGAATGAACAGAATCCACTGAATCTGTTGATGAATGCAAAGTCAAGTCAAGTGTTATTGGTGAAAAAACTCGAGTTTTTTGCCTTATTTTTTGCAGCGATAAGTTATGATGATTATTCTGATAATAATTTCAAATTCTTGAAAAAATATGAAACCTTTTGTTCGAACAAAATTTTTTTTCTTTTTTCGCTCTTCAACTTTTTTCTCTAAACTTTTGTTGGTTTTCGAGTTGAAATTGATTCAAATGTCATTAGATTAAATCTTGAACTTTTCATGTAATCATTGAGTGATCCCTTTCTCTATCTGATTCTGGAAACAATTGGAAAGACACATTTTACAATTGAAAATCCATTTAAAGGTTCACTCGAGTTGATTTTGTCGTTTTTTGTCTCTTCAAGTTTAACAAATGAGATTGATGGAGGTTAAAGTGTAAAATGATTTATTCAGTTTTCCTGCTTCCAGTCAACTTCATGTGAGTCTCAATGATCAATGAAATATGGTTAAGTGAAGTAGACAGAGTAAATAGATAATTGATACCAGAAGAATGCGATTCCGAAACAAAGTGAAGTAAATAGTAAAACAATAAAAAATCGATTCCAAATCAAAGCACAATTCAATGACACTGAGAAATTATCTCAAATTCCCCAACTATTCGTTGGATAATCGCATCCACTTCAACCTGAAAAATTTCAAGCATTTCAATCACATTTAATTCGATTTTTAACATTTTAATCAATTTCGAAACAAACAATTTCAACATTCACTTCGAAATCAAAAGTTGAATTGATCATGAAATAGATTCTCTCATGGAAAGAAGAGCAATTGAATCGAAATTTCGCCAAAATGAAGTTTGTCCAATTTTGTACATTGAGATAGTTCGTGGTCTTGAATGAGTCAAGTTGAATGACATCGAAATACGAAGAGTTGAGCTTGAAATTACAAGAAAATTCTTGATGCTAAAAGAGATCTAAATATAGATGAGAAGAAAAGAAAATTTGCGAAAAATTCGTCTCATTACCCTGATAATGAACTCAGTTTCATCCAAATATAAACCATGTTATCAACAATAATAATGATGTTGAACATTTTTGCAACAATTTTGGTTCATTCCATTTTACATTTTTGATTGGATTATAGTTGACAGTTAAACTGCTTCCAGGTGAATGTAAAGTATTCAAAAAGGAATGAGAATTCATAGAGAAAAAATATCTTTATATTCAGGATAACATTTCTTTTGGAATATAAACAGAATTGAGAAAAGGGAGAAAAAACAAGTTTTTCAAAGTTGCCAATTTTCTGTGCTCAACATTTTTTTCCCCAGTTTCTGTGCAAGTGCAAAGTTACCAAGTTTACTCACAATCCATGAAAATAAAACAATTTTTTGCTTCCCTGTTAACCGCTTCTCAAAAGTGCAAAGCTTATTCAGTTGAAACAAATTTTAGTTGTTGGTTAGATTTGGATAGCTTCAGGGAGCAAAATATTCCAATTAATGATAACTCTTCGAGGACTCGAAGGCTATTTTACTCTTTTTCCTCTTCTTCATCTTATTCCTTCTCTCTTCAGTAATATCTCATATTGCACACTGAATATGAAAAAAGTTTTACTTGGAAATGCTATGAGTTGAAATTGAGTTGCAAAAAGACTGTTTGATAATGATAGTTTGGGTAGGAGTAATAACCATAATAATAATGATACCTACAAGTTTAATATTTTTCTCAATGTTTGAATTCATTCATATTCAAATGTATCACTTGAACAAATTGTGAGTCTCTTTGATCAAAAGAATACCTTTTTTCTCGAAAAGATATTTTCTCATAAACAGAAAAGCAATGTTTACTTATTCTCTTTTCAATGATATTGCATTCTAATGAGTTTAGAATTGCATTAAAGTTGACTATTTGAACCAATTTGCTTTCATGGAAAGGATATTTCAGTGATGATTGAGGAAAATTGTGCAAAAAAGTATCGATGAACCGGGTTAAACTGAGGTTAACATCACGAAATTAGTCAATTAACTAACCAGGAAAATGTCATCGAGGATTAAACAATCGAATCAGAATAAGATAAAAGACAGTTTGATTCACCTGCTTGCAGCGATATTCAGGAACAAGGAAAATCTTCAAAATCGTTCTTTTTGTCGCTTCAGAAGTTATAATCTATTTTTAGTTCTGATATTGCGATTTGAATTCGTTGATGAGAAAGTCACAATAGTCTTCTGAAAATGCTGGAAATGAATTATAGAAAAGAAATTCTCTGGAAAAGAAATTTTTGTATAAAAGCTGAACTTTGGAAAGCGTCAAAATTTGAATGGAAAAGTGGGAAAAATTTGAAAGAACGCGAAATTAGTTGGAGTTTTTGTCTTTGAAAATCCGTCATCAGATATCATTTGAAGATTGACAAAGTGAATAGACATTGAGATATGAAATAAAGGCTGAAAACAAAGCAATAAGTTTGACAGTAAAAATGGAAAGTCTATTATAGAGTGAAAGATGATGATCTTTGTGAGTGACATTCAGTATGATTAGGGATGAGTGAGGGCATGAGAAGTAGCAGACGATGGTGAAGAGCAAGGTTCAAGATGAAAAGTTGATTGAAGTAAAATGGTGAAATGGGAGGTAAAAAGGAAGGTTGAATAATGCTAGAGATGACAAAGGGAACAAGTTTATAAGATGAAGATGAATGTAACCATGAAATGTAACTATTATCTTGGAATGAATGGGAAAAGGGAAAATCGCGAGAAGAGACAAAAAAATGTTGAACAAAATTGACATGAAAAATATTTTCTCTTTTACCAAGTTAATTGTGAAAAGGGACCAAAATATTAGTTGATTGAATTAATGCGATTAATGAAATGCTGAGCTTTTATATGAATTAGGATCAACTTGGATAGGGAATCAACTTGAAATAAGATATCAATCTTTATACTCTTTTAATATTAATAATCTTTACGAGTTCATTAGCTATTAATGCCTTTCAAGAAACACTCTCATGGTAATGTCTATATCGATGACATTCAGAGCATCCAGAGTAAAATCTTTTAATAGAAGGATAAATATTTCATTTCATGAAAAAGTTTACTAATAACTAAAATAGTTTCAAAATGAAGATCATCGACTCAAATGAAATACAACAGGTTGATGAAGGGAATGTCAAAGCAATTTGCTTTTCAATTAAAATGCAAAATTACATCGAACTCAATTGACTTTTGACTTTTTAAAAAGTTGAATAATCTGTTCCAAAATGCATTTCGCTCAAAATTCTAGAAGAACTTTTCTTTTCATTCAAATTTGGAAAGACTTACAAGAGCGAGTTTCCATTGAATAGTCAAACAGTTCTAACCTTTTCTTATGAACTCCTGTCCAACCTTAACCTTCACTTAGTCTTTCAAGTAATTCACAAGAAAAGTCATTGAAAACAATCTCGAAAACTGTTCAAAGCATTTGACTTGAAACTGTTAGTTTCGGGTTCTACTCTTTCGAGCTTAAAGCGCTTCTCTCAAGTTTTAGTCTTTCACTCTTCAACATCATAAAGCGAAGTAAAACGAGATTTTTCGATTTTTAATCGACTTTCGAATTTGAAATTGTGTTTAATGCGAAAAGCGCAAAGTTATTGTAAGTAGAGACGCGACATTGAATGATCTCTTATATTTTTGAATCTCTATGTCAGGTGCGTTCAGAAAATGAATCTTTGGAAGAGTTCTGAAAATTAAGATTCGTTGAGTAGATTTGGGTTTTTCGATGTTGAACAACTTATGAAGGTTTATTTTCCTTTGGAATGCAAATTGAAGGGAAATGTCTCATTGAATTCGGTAAGGTTGGTACTCACGGTCATTCGTTTGTTTGTATCAACCTCAATCATCCCTCTGAGAAGATCTTGGCACTCGGGTGGAACAAAGTGAGGAATGTGGAAAACTCCTCGTTTTACTTTCTCTAACAATTGGCGAAGGTTATCATCATCAAAAGGTAAGGCACCCTGTAAAGAGAGTAATTGCATTATATGGAGAAAAGAAGAAAATATTTCATTATTCAACTTTTTAACCTCATTATTTGAATAAATTTAATGTTGAACAACTGGCAACAGATAAGGAGAAACATTTAATATTATTAAGCATTCATCATATCATTTCGTTTCAATAAACTTTCAGCAAAAACAAGACATCAAATGAAGCACATTATTTTCATTAAACATCATTTACATTACAATTTCAATGAAAATGTAAATGATTCAATGTTGATATAAACATTTTGATTCTTCGTTTCAATCTATCGAACCAATTCCAACTCAATTAAATGATTAAACATTAACTTACCACTAAGAGAGCATAAAGTATAACACCGCAACTCCAAACATCAGCTCGTCTTCCATCATATTTTTCACCCTGAAAAAGAGGAAAAAAGAAAAGAAAAAAATGAAATTCCATTTTCTCAGAAAAAAATGTTTGAATTTTGAAATTTTCACTTCGCCTTTCAACGAAATAAGTTCAAAGGTAAACTCTTTTGAGGCGTCTTTCCAATGATTCTTAACAATATGTCTGCGATTCTCATGATATTTCATCTGAATAATGGTTTCAGGTTCAATCAGATTATGTAAATGTTAACAGTTTCGTGGTGAAATGAGTCTGATCAGAATGGATGGTTAAGATAAATGGAAAAATTTGAATGATATTTATTGAAATTCGGAAGGAAAAGTAGAGAATGTTACATGAAAATTGAGTTAACCTTAAGTGGATCTTCAAGGGTCAAGAATAGATCATGTAACCTTTGGGTCAAGTTATTATTCTTGTGAACTTAGTTTGAGTTTTCAAAGACAAAGCAGAGCAAAGAAATGAGATTCAAAGATTTACCATAAAGAATGAAAAGTGTGAATTGGATTCAAAGTCTTTGAAATGTTGACCTTTGAGTTTCCTAGTCAGTAAAGAAATGAATAATGATGTGTTTCTGAGCGAATTTCAAGATTTCGAATATTTTGCAAAATATTTTGATGGAACAAAAAAGCAAAATTCATTTTGGTTCCATTCATTATGGTACTTTGGTAGTTCGACTCTGTGCTATTTGAGGTGATTTTGAGTAGGAAGAACATTTTTGCATCATTAACACCTTTACTGAATCTCATTAAGAACCAATTATTTTAAAGTCATGAATATTTGTAAAGTTGCTAAAAATGTATGATATTCAACCAATTTTCAACTTTAATTAACTTTGTAAGTCTCCATTATTGAACAATGAACGATAATCATTTTTCAAAGGCTTCCAAGTGAAACGAAATTAGGATTAAATCAATTTAATTCATCAAATTTTGCCTCAAATTGAGTTGACAAACTTTTTTGTCAAACTTGACGATTCTTCTGTTGCATTATTTATGTAAAATAACTCAAGAGCTTCACAAATTTCCAAGTGTTTTCCTAAGCAAATTCAGCCAAACAACAACAACAATCTCATGTTTCAATGAAATTAATCCCTAAACTGGAACAAAAGTGACGTG